GTACCCTTTTTTGGCACCCCCTAATATCGGCGCCCGTGGTGGACGCCCCACCCGCCCTCCCCCTTGCTACGCCTATAAATCGAGTCTTGTTCTTTGAAGCAAATGACCACACGCGCTAATTTTAAATTCTTTTAAATTACTTGAGATCTAACGTATCTCCTGTTTGATTATTTCAGTCATTACAAATGAGCAACTAGCCTACACGTTTTTCCCCCCTTTAAATAAGAAATGGTAACATCTTAGTTTAAGTCACCTTTAATATTGCTTATTCTCAGGGGCGCACCGCACAGGGTGACACCATTGGGGGGGGGGGGGTGACACCAAGGCAAAAAATAGCAAAATATATAGAGGAAAAACTTGATGGGGGGGGGGTGCAAATCGAAAACTTGAGGGGGGCGCAAATCGAAAGTTTGAGGGGGAGGGGTGCAAATCGAAAACTTGAAAGCTTGTCCCCGGGAAGGGTCGCTACGCCTCTGGGGGGTGACACCATTAAGTGCCGCACCGGGTGACACCCGACCTCGCTACGCCACTGCTTTTTCTCTCGAGTTTATTTATTTAATATTTTTTTTGCAGACGACAATATCCGATGGACTGTAGGACAGGCAGACAAGTCGCCATTGTGAGGTTCCAGCTTAAGTGGTTGCAGGATCAGCATACACAGCTGAGTTCCCTGTTGACCCAGGTTCAAAACGTAAGTTCATATTGTTTGAACGTGTAATCTTTGTTGTCTACTTCAGCAGACGATTGTCTTATCCATAGATTAGCTTTGCTGTGTATTTGTAGATATTATATTAATGTATATCGTATCAATATACTTATATTATCTGAAAGTGTGATATCTACGGTCCTAAAATCAGAGTTTCTTTCAGACATCTCTTCGGTTAAGGGAGGAGGGGATGTTCCCCCCTCCCCCAGAAGAAAGTCTACCCCCCACCCAAACGAAATGAAATGTATATGTACTTTTAACAGTGTCCGTCCCCCCCCCCTCCCCGCCGAAGAAAAGTCTACCGCCCCCCCCCGCCCGCCCCCCCCCCCGAAAATTTCAAGTACCCCCCCCCCCCCGGAGAAAAAAAAAAAAGTCTGGGGGAAACACTGCCTATAAGCCTATAATATGTATGAGTAGAATTATAAACATGTGAATGAAATTATTATGTAATGTTTAAAGCGCTGGAGTACTGTGTGTATAGTATAGATGAATGCGATCTGTGTGTATTATTTTGATAGGTAGAATGTATTTCTAGTTTAAAAGAATCCTCTTTAGACATATCAATCCATTGGACAGATGAAGTAGAGTTCACGTGTTTCTTGACCTCGGCATACGAAGGGAAGGTGCGGTTAGCGCATTGCCCAGCCGCCTTTACTTTCCCCCCTCACTTGAGATAGGTACCCACTTTAGTGTGCTTGTAGAATACACAAGCTGTAGCCACACTGGGTATGATTATGTGTCGGTGTTTCTTATAGGCATCTATACGCTTGGCTACTAATCCGAAAGTCTCGAGTTCGGATCCCAGGTTCCAGTCCGTAGAACATCCCATTTTGGATGGGTACCTGACTCACGTTAGGGAAAGCTAATGCGGTAGGGCAGAGGCGTAGCGAGGGGGGAGGGGGGATTAATTGTAACAGAAAAGCTCTTCTTTATCTGATTTTTATGTCTTCGGCACTAAATTAAAAAAGATGATGATGTGATATCTTAGAGGGGAGGGTGGTAGTGGTCTCCGAGCAAGATCACCTCTACCTTCTACAGCTGGAAGATTCATATGCCCCATCTCACTCCCAGTGTTGCTTCCAGACTTTTTTCTCCGGGGGGGGGGGGGGGGCACTTGAAATTTTCAAGGGGGTGGACGGACTAAAAGAAAATTTTTGTACTGTTAAAAATATATATTTTCTACATAAATTCTATTTCGTTCGGGGGGGGGGGGGGGGAGGGGGGGGGCAGAAACTCTGCTCCCTCCTCTTTCTGGAGCGAAACGGCTGACAAACTGACAGAAACTCTGTAGCACGCTAAGCTGCTTCTAGCATTTACTAACACACAGAGTCACCTTCTACACTACATCTCTCCCTCTCTCTCTCTTTCTCTCTATCTCTCTCTCTCTCTCTCGCTTTCTCTCCCTCCAGGGTCCTGGATGACGGGAGCTCATGGTTGAGTGAACAGGGCGAGGGGCGTGTCAGTTTTGCGGACATCTGCCAGAGGAATTGAAACCGCTTCCGTTCAGGTCACACAGACATGCGCAGTGATAACAAGTAAGGGTTAAGGTTATAAAGTTTGGTTGCCCTCACTACATGCTTCAGTGTATTGCCTTTATTTGATACATGTATTGGTACATTGGTTGTATATAAAGTTCTGATTAGATTTCCGGATCGCATTTACGTACAGTGAATTTTAGAGCTAGGATATACAAAATGGAGGAGTCTGGCGGTTAGAGCGCTCAGGTGGTAACCCGAAAGTATCGAGTTCGAATATCACGGACCAGTATTTCTTTCAGACGTTTTAATCTCGGGAGGGGAGTGGGGCGGCACGTAAATTTTTTCTGGGGTGGGGGGCGGAAACTGGTAAAAACTATATATATATATATATATATATATATATATATATATATTCCATATAAACTCTATTTCGTTCGGTAGGGGAGGGGGAGGGTGTTGATGTGCTTCTGTGCCCCCCCCCTCACACACCACTGAAAGAAACACTGTCCCGGAGTCTGTTATACTTCCTTGAGTCCAACAGACTTTGATGGGTGACTGATTGACTTTAGGGAAAGTAAACGCAACTGGGCATGGTGCTGAGCATACCATCCTTACATATGTTATGAAACAGATGAACTCTACTTCATCTGCTACAGATCCTCAAGTTCTGAAGGAGAAAGTTACTTCCCCCCCCCCCTCCCAATAAACAAACACCATGCAATTAACCGTTGACGTATGGTATTTTTAAACATCCGGTTCGGATTTTAACCAAGATATCAGGAGTATTTTGAAACAGATAGCAGTCAATGCAATAAATATTGCGGGTTTTAATCCCAGTGATCTTGCTATTGTGTCATGACTAAGACTGTCGTATTTTAAATATAGCTCAATTTAAAAAAAACGTAACAGTTTTAATATTATCTCGTATACCACGTTTGAAATGTAGAGGAGTAGATCCAGTAAAGTAGGCAGTGGTGTGTGTATGTTGGTGTGTGCGGAGGGGAAGTGGATCATAACTCCAATGTGGTTAGAACCCACGAACACAACAATTACTTATGTATAGTTACATAGTAACAATATATATATATATATATATTATATATATATATATATATATATATATATATATATATATATATATGTGTATATATATATATATATATATATATATGTATATATGTATATATATATATATATATATATATATATATAAATATATATATATATATAAGAGTATATGTATATATAAACTATATACATATATGAATATATATACTTACATATATAATTGCGTGTGTGTGTAAGTATATATATACATCTATACATCTACATATATATATATATATATATATATATATATATATATATATATATATATATATATATATATATATATATATATATATAAATTCTTACTAAGACACATGAACAGCACTATGATTAGTATAATGTAAAGATAGTATTGCCATTTATATTTCAGTGGACGGCAGAGAAGATACGTCTGTATCGATGTCTGTACCGATGTCTGTACCGATGTCTGTACCGATGACTCCCACACTTGACCTTCAACAGAAGGCAGCAAAGGAGGTGGTGACACCAGGTGGTGAGCTGGTCTCACCAGGAGAAGGTAAACATCCTCCACATTATGTTGATACACATTTTTAAGTGTTGTGCTGGAATTATGTGAAGTGTAAACTTCATTTACCTGTATGTGGCCTTCAACGACGGAGAGGGGGAGGAAGGTGTTCGAAAATTTTGGGATTGTACTTATCTCTAATTACTTATTCAACAAATGTAAATATTTGTATAGGACGTCTAAAAAAATTTTTTTTTCAGATTTTGGAAACGAATATCGTTCGACTTGTTTAAATAATGTATATTAAGTTTGAGATTCTAAGAATCGAATAGTGGATAACAGTATTAAAACTTGCTCAGCGAATGTGCGCTTTTAAAACAATATTTTCACGGTTGAAACCACAGTTATAAATATTTTAAAGACTGATTGTCACCCTTTATATGACGCGGTTTTATCCCCCCCCCCTCCAATTAGCCACTCATCGCCAAAAAGTTAGACTCCAGCTTTAAAATTACGTCTGACCTCCATCATCATCATCACTGTATCACCCCTGCTGAGGTATGGGCCACCAACCACAGATCTCCAGAGTCCTCTGTCCTGCTGGGGTATGGGCCGCCACCCAAAGATCTCCAGTCCTCTGTCCTACTGGGGTTATGGGCCGCCACCCAAAGATCTCCAGTCCTCTGTCCTGCTAGGCTATGGGCCACCAACCAAAGATCCCTGGAGTCATCAGTCTTGTGCCATTTTTCACCCACAATTCCGCTCAAAATTACTTTTTTTGAAGCATCGATTAAATTTTTTTTTCTGAACTCGGGCAAATTTAAGTGCATTCGTAAATTTCTATTACAGTTTACAAATACAGCTTTTTCAAAACCCAAAATAACGCCTAAAATCCTGTAACTATAATTACTTTTTGAATTGCAAAAATAGAAAAAAAGGTGATATCAAACTTTCTGGTTCACGTATTGTGTTTACTGTTTCATTTCTGTATTAAACACAGAGGCGTAGCGAGGGGGGGGGGGGGCATATGTCCCCGGGCGCCGACCTTATTTGCGCCAAAATGGGTTGGAAAAAGAAATTGAATGTTTGAAGGGGGTGCAAATCGAAAGATTAAGGGAGGGGGGGGGGGGTGCATATCGAAAGTTTGTCCTCGGGCGCCGGGAAGGGTCGCTACGCCTCTGATTAAACAAGACTACTTAAACTTTATTAAAACTGTACTTAAACTTTAATTAAACCTTTACTAAAACTTTATTTAAACTTTACTTGAAATCAACGTGAACTTTAATTAAGTTTGCTTAAATTTTACTTAACATTAACTTAAAATTAACTTAAACTTTACTTAAACTTTAATTAAACTCTACTTAAACTTTTACTAAATTTAACTTAAACTTTACTTAAATTTTACTTAAACTTTACTTAAACTTTACTTAAACTTTACTTAAACTTTACTTAAACTTTACTTAAACTTTACTTAAACTTTACTTAAACTTTACTTAAACTTTACTTAAACTTTACTTAAACTTTACTTAAACTTTACTTAAATGATACTTAAACTTTGTTTAAACTGTACTTAAAATTTACTAAACTTTATTTAAACTTTACTTAAATGTTACTTAACCTTTACTTAAACTTTACTTAAACTATACAGACATGATCGAAAAGTTACATCAACAACCCCAAATCAAGCTTAAAAACGATACTGATGGGGAAATTAACAGCGCATCGTACCTCAAAACATTATTTCAAAACCAGCACCAAATGGTGCAACAACTCCTCAACACTGTACAGGTACAAGACGAGAAAATCAGACAAAACTCTGCCAGGATGGACGAATTACAAAAACACACAGAAAACAGAGATGACGTTATGAACGAAATAAAAGGGGAGATCACCAATCTATCTCATGTCTGCGCGCACTTTCACGAATCCCTTCAAGAATATCAGGGGGCTGCGGAAATCGGCGAAAACAAAACGGAAATTCAGAACAAGAAGTTGGAGGAGTTAAAGGAATCGTTGAAGGTCGTGTATGCACAGCAAGAAGCTGAGGCGGAGAGTATTGACGAGATCTCGCGCAATCACCATAGAGACGTCCTTGAAGTGTGTAAACAAGTGGACGATTTCGAAGATAAGGTGCGTGGAATGCTTGTATAATAATACTCATTAAGAAAATGTGATATTTTTTTAATTTATAAAGAAAAATATTTCAATTTAGAATCTTATAAAAAGCGTACTCAGACTTATAATTTAAACGATCATATCCATTTCATAGTATATATTAACTAGTTGGAATTGTGTATCTATAATACCCACACATTATTTACTTTAACTTACTCTGAACTCCAACCTAAATTCTAATTAATTTGTAAGTATTTAAGGTTTTCATATTTAATTAATATACGCTTAATCTATTGCTTAATCTTTTATTTTGACTAAGTATACCGCGTCTAAAAAGACGCATATTTCTTTATAATAATTACTTCTTCCAGTGTGTTCGTTTTTCTAATTTGTTAATAAAAGATAACATGATCTTTCCAGTTGGAGAAAATGAAATGAAATGGTTTCTTACCTTTACGAGAAGGATACAGTTCCCGGTACACTTACTTTATTTAAATTATAAATAAATATATATATATATATATATATATATATATATATATATATATATATATATATATATATATATATATATATACTTTTATATATATATACGTATAATTTTACATATCTATATATATGGATATATATATATATGGATATATATATATATATATATATATATATATATATATATATATATATATATATATATATATATATGTATGTAATATATATATATATTATAATTATATATATATATATATGTATGTATATATATATATATATATATAATTATAATTATAAAATATGTATATAATATACTTATTATCGCTACATATTAGATCAGGAGAACAAGGACTCCAGCCTTTACAGCCTACTGCTCAGGTTTCTCCGACACCGACCAAGGCTCCACCCTCACCTGTTTCAAGGACGTGAGGTGCAACTCCGGGGCGTGCTACAACCCCCTGACTGGGGGAGTTCACCGCCCCGGCCGACGGGCTGTACGCCGCCAGCCTCACCCTCTGGCTGCTGAAGGAGGGTCGGGTCAAGGTCAACGTCATCAACAGGACCCGGGGTCACGAGGTCAAGGTCTGCGAGGTGTTCGCGTGTGGCTTCAACACGAGCTCGTGCGGTGTGGGCGTGGCTGACATGGAGGCCGGGGATAAACTTTTCTTGAGGCTTGTGTGTATTTCCGGGAATTCCCAAGGAGCGCAGTTATCGGATTTTTCCAGTTTCACCTGCTTCATGATTCAATAAAGCTTACAATTTTTTTAGTGACTTGTTTTTTTTTAAAGTTAAATGATTCAATAACATTTTCTGTTGCTTTTTTAATACCGTAAAATACATCTTCTTCAACATCAAGCACGTTATTTTGACAAGAATAAAAACAATAATAATAATAATAAATTATGCCAGAGAGACTCCACTAACAAGTGAATACAAGTATCTCTTGTAACCTTCTAACAGTGGCGCCACAAAGTAAAGTTTCATACGATGCGTTTCACCCTCCTCATCACTCAATTTTACATTTTCGGTTTAGTGTCACCCCTCTCCACTTATAATAATTTTTTATATTAACTGGATAAACAATTGTTTTCACTATAAATTTTGAGATTTTTCTTCCTGGTGCTACCCCTCTAAAACGATGTTACCCGATGCGTACCGCACCCCTCCTTCCCCGCACCCCCTTTGTGACGCCAATGCCTTTGACATTGGCCTTGTTGATTTTGTATATATAAGTAGTAAGTAAAACCGCAAATAAGCTAACCTTTCTTGACCTAATACTTCATTGGACAGATTAAGTAGAGTTTATGTAAACTCGGCATACAAAAGGAATAGTGTGGACCGTGCCATACACAGCCGCGTTTGGTTTCCCTAACGTAAGTCAGGTACCCATCATAGCTGGATGGACTCTAGGATGTACTTTGGTCTCAGAAATGCAGACTTAAACAAACACAATGTGGCACAAATATGACAGGAATGTACAGTATAAAACTGTTTTAAAAAATCAACCCACAAACGTCGTTGCACTAATCAGTATGTAAATATCGTTTCCTTTTCGAAACAAACGGTGCATGTCGCAAGTGAAGTAGAGTTCACCTGTTTCTGTGACCTAGGCATATGAAGGGATAGCGTAGTCAGCACTATGCCCAGCCACTTTTACCTTACATCACGTGAGTTAGATACTCATCAGAGTAAGGTGGACTCAGGACGTACTACAGACTTAAACCCGCATTCGAACTCGAGACTCTCGGGTTAGAAGTCTAGCGCTTTACCTCTAAGCCACGCCTGAGAACTGTTTTTTAATAGTATGATCATAACTCAAACTATATGAGGAAATGCAGCAAGCTCACAGAAACTAGGATAAAGACAATACAAAACTACAAAAAACAAAAACAAAAAAAAAACAGGATAGGTCAAAATATCAACATCAGAATGGAACATGAAGAGCAGAAAGAGCAAAGGAAAAAAAAACAATCCATTGGACCTAAGTAAGATTAAATAATCTTTCCTAAAATACGGAGCTTAAAGAGAAGAATTTTTAAAAAGTGACAAGGAAACAAAGCTGCTTTTTCATTTCAATACATATTTAATACATAACCAATCAGAATATATTATGAACACAATATAAATAAGCCAACTATATCTATAACCCACTTTTTTGTACATAGTTTCATAACAAACCTCCAATGCCAATATCGTTTAATTCAATTTGGAATGTTCCCCTCATTTATGTGAACATTATAAAAGAGCAAAGTTCAAATAAATAACAAATCACAACATTGCAGAATTATTTAAAGTCAACATAACATAAGCATCAATTGCTAATAACTATATAACATTGTGGTATATATTCAACAATATACAGTTTTATTTTCCCTCCCAAATAGCTGATAAATGTAATCAAAATGTATTTAATGTATCTGACGCAATAATACTAATTAAGAAAAAGACACACAATGAGAATAGTTTGTGCTAATGCTCTTGCTTTGAGCAATATTTTAAATCACATTTATAATATCACACAGCTTATTTGTAGTAATTTATTTGAAATTTACATCGGCGACATTCAAAACTTCATCTAAATGTACGTTAACGACTATAGAGAACAATCTACACAATGATATGTGTAGGCATGTTTTTTTTAGCGTAATTGCTAATTAACGTATAGTTGGCAGTGAGATTGCTAAAATGACTGCTAACCGTATTATGATTTGTATAGTCTGAAAGCAGAGTTTCTTCCAGGCATCTCTTCGGGGGGGGGGGGGGGGGGGGGGGGGCTTAGCCCCCCAAAAAAAATTTTACCGCCCCCCCCCCCTCCCGAACAAAATGAAATTTATATAATTTATATAGAAAATATATACTTTTAACAGTGTCCGCCCCCCCCCCCCCGAAGAAAAGTCTACCGCCCCCCCCGAAAATTTCAAGTGCCCCCCCCCCCCCCGGAGAAAAAAGTCTGGAAGAAACACTGTCTGAAAGTGAGTTTAATTTCAGACTAGAATATTTTATAGAGAGGTTTTAAAGATTAAAGAGAAACTGTTCAGGTAAAAAAATGCTGTACTTCGATCTCTTTGTCCATGAAAAAAATAGACTTGTAGTCTTGTAAAAACTTTGTTGGGTGTAGACTTTACGGTGTAGGAAAGAATTGTTGGATGTAGAATTTAAGGCCTAGGAAGGAATTGTTGGATGTAAGCTTTATGGTCCAGGAAAGAATTGTTCGATGTAGAATTTAAGGCCTAGGAAGGAATTGTTGGATGTAAGCTTTATGGTCCAGGAAAGAATTGTTGGATGTAGAATTTAAGGCCTAGGAAGGAATTGTTGGATGTAAGCTTTATGGTCCAGGAAAGAATTGTTGGATGTAGAATTTAAGGCCTAGGAAGGAATTGTTGGATGTAAGCTTTATGGTCCAGGAAATAATTGTTGGATGTAGAATTTTAGGTCTAGGAAAGAATTGTTGGATATAGGCTTTAAAGTGAAATATTTATTAAATACACAATGTAATTGTAATGAGGGAAGTGGTCTTACAAATGTCATCCTATATGATACACTCTAAATAGAAGGCTAAATTAACTAAAATAACAAGGTTTTTTAAGATGTAACCAGGTTTGCATGGGTGAAAGTCTAACTTTGTGCATAAAAAGTGTAGCAGTTTTTTAATTGTTTTATTCTAATATTTTCTTCTTTAATGGATTCGGTGTACATAAAAAAAAAGATGTTTACCCGTAAAGTTAAGATCGTGAGATCGGAGTTAGAAACATGGTTTAAAAAATCGCATTAAGGCAAAAACTATACAAGCAATTCATACGAAATTCGGAATAACGAAGCGAATGAAAAAAAGGACAATGTATTAAAGGACACATTGTCAATGCGCATAGGGAAAAACAAAACACATTTAAAGACAGCTTTAACTGTACATTTACCCAGAGGCGTAGCGAGGGGGGGGGGGGGGCGGGGGGTGCGGACCGCACCGGGTGACACCATTTAGGGGGGTGACACCAAGGCAAAAAATTGCAAAATATATAGAGAAAAACTCGAGGGGGGTGCAAATCGAAAGTTTGAGGGGGGGTGCAAATCGAAAATTTGAAAGTTTGTCCCTGGGAAGGGTCTCTACGCCTCTGGGGGGGGGGGGTGACACCATTAAGTGCCGCACCGGTTGACACCCGACCTCGCTACGCCACTGCATTTACCACCTACACTGTAGTGATGAACTAACATCTTCAACATTTTTAGATACTTTGACCCTACACACACACACACTGACATCAGGACATACACAAACTCACATCAGGACATACACACATCACATCAGAACATACACACACTCACATCAGGACATACACACAAATCAGGACATACACACATCACATCAGAACATACACACACTCACATCAGGACATACACACAAATCAGGACATACACACACTCACATCAGTACATACACACCTTCTCTCACACGAAACATTTAAAAGCGAATGTATTCATTTAAAACATCAAACATTTCGACAAACGGACGAAATCATTATGACATTTCGTCAATGTAGGCATATTCATCTCAAAGACCATTGAAATAAAAATATTGAATTTTTATATATTATTTAAGGAATTTAAAAAATGATATATCTTTCTTAAACCGATTAATGTAATCAATAATAAGTAAAATAAAATAAAAATTACCCCTCATGATATTTACAATGGTGGAGATTCACACGTAAAACATTCAAAATCGAACATGAATCAGTCCCCCTCCCCCTACCTAACCAATCACTCTCCCCACTCACCTCTCTCTCCCCACCACCTCTCTCTCTCTCTCTCTCTCTCTTTCTCTCTACAATCAATAGAGTTAATAATGCAGTTGGCCCTTCAAACCCTTTAGGTCAATGAAACACAGATATTTTAATTTTAACTCTGGATTACTGTGGGTTAAATCACCAATTGTCACCGCTGATACTTTTTAAAACTCTCGCCCATTCATAAAAGTCAAGAGAGTTTTAAAAAAACTTCAATTCTTAGTACCCAAATGGTTAAAACCACAACTTCCATCGTTAGTACCGAAAGGGTTAAAACTACAACTTCCGTTCTTAGTGCCAAAACGGTTAACCTTACAACTTCCATTCCTAGTACCGAAAGTGTTAAGGCTACAACTTCCGTTCTTAGTGCCAAAACGGTTAAAACCACAACTTCCGCTCTTAGTGCCAAAACGGTTAACCTTACAACTTCCATTCATAGTACCTAAAGGGTTACAGCCACCACTTCCATTCCTAGTACCGAAAGTGTTAAGGCTACAACTTCCGCCTCTGGTAGTTCTCCCACCACTGTGTGACCTTCTTCACGTAGGCCGGGTTCGAATCCAGCAGCTCCGATAGCGGGAGCTTGACGATGTTGCTGATGAGTGGAACCTCGTACTTTAGTATGGCCTTGTCCGTCTCCTTGGGCGTCTTGGCGCAGTCGCCCCACTGTCTCTTGCAGGAGCGGTAGTGGAACAGCTTGTAGAAGTCATGGGGGATCGGCTCTCTGATGGGGTAGGGGGAGTAGAGTTTATTAAGATAGAATTGATGAAGGTAAACGATATAGAGTTGATAAAGGTAAATAATATAGAATTGATGTAAGTAAATAATATAGAACTGATAAAGGTAAGCAATTTAGAATTAATAAAGGTAGAAAAAATAGAATTGATAAAGTTTAACAATATAGAATTGATAAAGGTAATTTATAAAGGTAAAAAAATATAGAATTGATTAAGTAAACAATATAGAAGTGATAAAGGTAAACAATATAGAATTAATGGAGGTAAACAATATAAAATTGAAAAAGTAAACAGTATAGAATTGATTAATTAAACAATGTAGAATAGATAAACGTAAACAATATAGAATTGATAAAGGCAAACTGATCTTGTAGCGCCGACTAAAACCAAGAGATTGAACCTGTATAAAAATGCTTCTGTGGTCCACTAACTGGCTTACTTAGCCGATATCTTTGCGGCCTCTTAATATGTGGTGGCGGAGGGGGGGGGGGGCGATTTACTTAAAAGCCACCACTAAGGATTACACATTTTTAGTCCCAGGAAATACGTCGGTCATCGATGATGTGATATAACTTCGGACCCCTTAGCACTATTAGATATACAGTTCCTGTTTACAAACACACACCCACACACACATACACACACACGCCCGCACGCACGCATGTACGCACGCACATACGCACGAATGCACGCAAGCACGCGCGCAGAACTCACACACACACGCAAAGTACGCACACATACACACACACACACACCATTGTAATGAGTTAACTATTAAATTTTCAAAATAAACCAAAACGCACAGCGATAACCGCTTGCAAATTGTCTACGTTAAAACAAAACTGTAAGCTTACACAGCAAAGCCCTTTCTAACGTAGACGAAGTTGTTCCTGGCGTAGAACGTCCTGTGTGGCATGAAAGCCCATCTGGTGTTTCTGTGAGCCCCGTCGTAGTTGACCACAGAGGTTCGGTTGACGTAGCGGGTCAGCTGTAGGTCAATTCAATCATAAAATATAATGAATTATAATGCAACATAATACAACATAATATGATAATGAATAATGATGCAAAATAATATAATAAATCATAAGGATTACACATAAAAAACGTAATAAAATATAATGAAATATAATGAATCATAATGCAATATAGAACAACATAATATGAAAAATCATGTAAAACGTAATGAAATATAATGAATCATAATGCAACGTAATACAACATAATACAACTTAATACAACATAACAATACCTAAAAAACATGACAACACAATACGACTTAATGAAACACAATAAAAAAATAAACTAAAAATACATAATAACAATAATAAAACATATAACAAAAAATATGATACAACATATAGATTAATAAAGATTAGCGCTATTTCGTAATAAAAGGGTGTTTTCTGTGTAAAGGATTAACTTTGGATATATCAGGCGAGAATGAGAAGGCGGTTGCTTTAATGATTTGGCTTAAAAATCTGCCTGCTTGGAAAGTGTGTGGTCTATGCTCTAACACAAAAAATCACGGATAACAATACCATTTTTTAGAGTCTGGACTATTGTTCAGTTTAGGGAAAAATTTAGTGCTTGTGGCTGAAGTATGTAAACTCTCAAGATTATGACAATGGCTAGGGATTAGAATACTTTTTACCGATCAGCACATTTACTTGAATAAGCCGGTATCGCCGATAAACCTACTCCATAAAGATTATATTTGTTGGCGGGCGTTCAGTTAGATATAGGTTATACCTAGAATTTGGTAATGCAATACCATTTTTGTACTGGTTTGACTAAAAGACAAGTAACATTAGGCCAAAAGAGGTGTCTTTAATATAACTTTTTCTGACGAACTGTATTGTTTTCCTTTCGTTTTGACATATATGTCGGCACCGAAAGTAATAAAAAAACACATGGAACTAAAATACCTACATAAACAATCTATTAAAACAACACAAAGCATGCAGATTAAAAAGGATCCGTTAAAGAAAAATCAATAAAAATATAGAAATCAAAGAAATATACATTGCTACATAAACAGGATCGCTTTAAAAACAGAAAGAGAACGACGTCAAAGTACAGATGCTACCTACATGCAGAGGCGAGTCCCTCGTGGCGCCCCATGACGTCACCACCACGTACGAATCTATCTGGAATCCGCCTGCTGTGGGGTACTTGGTACTGGCGGCCTGTTGATGTGTAATAAAAGTTTCGACTTTTTATATTATTCATAGTGTAGGTCTGTACTCAAGTATAATTCTCAAACCAATTTACGTTGTTTAAAAAATATTATTTTGTTTCGTAGTATTTTCATCAGAAAGATACCTAGATTGTACGAAAATTGTGTTATATTCAGACGATGAATAAAAGTAATGAGTATAATAGTTTTAAACAATATTACATGCTATTAAGATGATAAGGCTAATAAAGAAACAACAAAAAACTCAGGTTCTATTTTTTTTTAAATACAATTTATATCAACCCCCTACCCCTGCCCTTCTTTAAAAAAATATGATGAATATTTCGTACTAAAAAACAACCTGTTTTAAATAGCTATATTAGACTATATACATATATATATATATATATATATATATATATATATATATATATATATATATATATATAAATATATTTATATATATATTAAAAAACAACCTGTTATAAATAGATATATTAGACTATATATATATATATATATATATATATATATATATATATATATATATATATATATATATATTTTATTTTTTATTAATTTATTTATTTATTTATTTATTTAAATTTTGCTTTAGAAAGGCAGGCATAGATTAAATTTAGCTTTACCCCTGCGCTTTTCCTAAACAATTTACATTATGTGTATAGTACAAAACATGCTCACTCTCAAGAATGTATCTAACCTATCGACCCTACCTTCAACACTTGATGGTACGTGCTCATCTCCCCCAGTGGAACAATGAACTCGTCCACGTCCATGACGATGACGTAATCGTAGTTGGACATCCGGTGCTTGCAGTCGTTCACGCCCATCACCTCGTCGACAAAAGCCTGCTCGGAATAACGGGGGTGCCGGAATCCTCGATCTTTACCGTCTGCAGCGAGAACAGAACATGGTACGTGTAATTATGGTTTTTTTTAACACCGAGTGCACACTTGCGACATGTATACCATACACGTCTAGAGAAAAAAAAAACAACTTCGCAGTAAGCGAGAAGGCAACCTTTCCCCCTCCTCCCAACGTATACATCTTTGGATAAAATTAACTTAAGGGACTTTGCTAATCCTATTCTTATCTAAAAACTTCACTTTTGCATTTTAAAAACTCTAACAATGACACTAAGTGCAGACTTTCATCCAAATAATCCTAATACTAAACGCTGCCCGCAAAAAAAATCCTAATGCGCTCGTTAATCTTTTGTTAAAGATCCACCGCATTCCCCCCCCCCCCCCCCCCCCCCCCGCCATCCAAATACGCACATATAAACAAATAAGAAAACGAAAAATTCCAGACTCAACGTAATATTAGATTACGCTATGTAATTTAACAACCTTAAAATTAATTGAAAACCTTAAAATTAATTAACATCCTTAATACACAACAGAACATATTTCGATAGAAAATAAATAATTGAAAAATATATTGTCCTTCAGTTTTCTTAGAAGAACTAGCGAAAAAAAAAAACCCACTAAATTCTTAACTCAAATTACATGTTGGACTCAAAATGAATTTGATTGAAAAAATAAAGGCAACTAAATACCACATCGTCCGATTCGCTTTTCTAGAAGAACTAGAATTCTATAATTAAATTTCGGCTTTCCTCGAAGATTGAAAAAAAAAAATTATGTATTAACAGTATCCGCCGGCACCCCCGGAATTTTTTAAGTGCCCCCCCCCCCCCCGAAAAAAGTCTGGAAGAAACACTGCTTCAAACTGAACTTACTTTTGGATTTGGCCGGGTGTATCAACACGAGGTCCAGGAACCCGGTGGTGTTGTAGTACCGCAACACCTTCATCCCGGGCGGGTCCACGTCAAAGTAATAGGTGAACACCTTGGTCACGCCCATCAGCTTGGAGTACTCAAACCACTCCAACACCTTCTCGGGGTCAAGTTTCCCGTACGACACCTTCAAACACAACCCCACGGAATTCGCAACTTTTTTCGGGTACTCAATCCTCATGACGTCACCCGGCGCGTCTAGACACGAATCTTTAACTAGTGTGACGTAATCAAACTGGGATTTCCCAATAGAGGTCATGTACTCTTGAGGAAGGGAACAGGTGAACTCCGCGTTTTGCATATCGACGATCCATTGTTTGTAAACATTGTAGACTTGTGATTGGACCTCGGTGAAGGTCACGCTCTGGGTTTTGGGTGAGGGCGTGAAGGAGTGCAAGAAGCAGCATTTGAAGTTCATGCTGTCGTTGTGGCGCGCCCAGCCGTTGAGGAAGACGTTGAAGCCGGACGGCACGGGGTAGTTGTCGTAGTGTACGGCTGTGGGGATGTGGACTTGCACCGTACCGGCTTGGATGTTTTCTCCGCGGTCGACGAGGCGAAACGTCTTGGTGACTTTGTGCTGGGGAAAGAACTGTGCGTCCGGATAATTAGACGAAATCGATGAAAAATAAATCGATTTGGTTTTATTGATTAGTATAGATTAAAATTGCTTTGATAAATAGTACAAACACGCAGAGGCGTAGCGACTAACTTTCAATTTGCACCACCCCCCTCGAACTTTTCATTTGCACTCCCCCACCCCCTCGGACTTTTCATTTGCACCCCCCACTCCCCTCAAACTTTCGATTTACATCCCCCCAAACTTTTCATTTACGCCCCCCCCCCCTCAAACTTTCAATTTGGTGTTCCCTAAGGTCGGCGCCCGGGGACATAGTTCCCCCCCCCCCCACCTATCCCTACGCCTCTGCAAACACAGCAGGATTAGATATGATTAGACGAATCCCAGTGAGACAAGAAATTTAAAATATGATTTTGTTGGTGTAGTATACAATACGAGAAGTTTTAATCGTGCGGCGTCAATTCGGCCAATGACGAAACGGCCCCGTCAAAACGACCCCGACAAAACGACCCCGTCAAAACGACCCCGTCAAATCGGCCCCGTCAAAAGGGCCAGCGACATATGGATCCCGTCATATAGGCTCCCGACAAATAGGCTCCCGTCATTTAGACTACCGACAAATAGGCTCCCGTTATATAGGCTCCCGACAAAAGGGCTCCAGTCAATAAGGCTCCTGACAAATAGGCTCCCGTCATTTTGGCTCCCGACATATAGTCTCCCGTCATTTAGTTTTTTCCACAAAACGGCCCCCGTCATTACGACTCCCGACAAATAGGCTCCCGCCATTTAGTTTCTCCACAAAACGGCCCCCGTCATTACGACTCCCGACAAATAGGCTAGCGTCATTTTGGCTCCCGACAAAAAGGCTCCTGTCAATTTGGCTCCAGACAAAAGGACCACTGGCACAGTGGCGTAGTTACCGTAAAGCTAGCGTAAGCAAGGCATGGGGGCCCAAGGCACATAGGGGCCCTTTTCCCTCATAAAAAATTAAAACTTTTACAATGGAATTTTAATATTTATTACATATAAATAATTTTAAAAAAGAAAAAGGTTAAAAGTTCCAAAAATCCCCCCCCCCCCCCCCCCCCCACCGTTTCGGCAGTGGGATTCAGTGTTTGTGGGTCAAACAGAGCCCAATCGTTATAATAACACTACAGGCTATATCACTTTGTCGTGCAAGACATTGAGAGAATCAGCCTATAAATAAACTTTTTAGCAGTAGTAGGCAAGCATAATAATATAGTATAAATACAAAATCAGGACATATAAAATACAAAATGTTGCCTTCAGAATATTTATATATTAAAAAATATCCATCGTAAGTAGAAGTTGATCTCTTCGTTTAACTCCTCTGTAGCCTAACGCAGAGGCGTAGCGAAGGCGGGGCGGCGAGTGCGGACCGCATCGGGTGACACCATTTAGGGGGGGGTGACACCAAAAGCAAAAAATTGTAACATTTATAGAATGAAATGCCATTTTCCAGATCCATTAGTTAAAGTTAAATAGTCTTCTAAGTACAAATCGAAAATTATATCAAGAGGGGGGGGGGTGTGACACCACGACGTAAACGTAAACTATAAAGAAAACAATGCTACATCCAACTGTATTATAAACAGACTGTAGATAAACATCGTTACTATTAAGTCAGCAGTGATTAAAGCTTAAACACGTACGTGTACCAGTATGTGGCATATATATAAATTTTAAGCCTATGTAGGCCGACACACACACATATATATATATATATATATATATATATATATATATATATATATATATATATATATATATATATATATATATATATATATATATATATATATATATATATATATATATATACTAGCGTACCCGTCCCCCGCGCGTTGCCGCGGGGATAGAATAAAGTCTGACGAAATATATTAGAAGGATATCATCAATGCTTTACCAATCATATGTTCTTAGACGCATCACCTTGTTTTCTTCTTTTCTTCTTCTTCTTCGTTCTTAATTATTAGTGTTGAAGGGGATCGAGATTTATCATCCAGTGGGTTTGAACTCAAGACTTTGTTCGAATTTATCAACCATGAGCTTTTTGCCGACTCGACCACGCCTCCAACACAATTAAGCGTTACGTGTCAACTGGTTATGCGCCATTGAGGCCATTGACTCCGATTTCAGCCTGCTTTTCTTTTTGGATTTGCTTCCATAGCCTTTGTCCAACCAAGAACAAACTACAAGGCAGAAGTTGTTTTAATTTTGGAGTTGTCTCTCCTAGAAGAGTGGCTGTCCCCAGCTAACGAGCCTTATCTGCCCGAGAGTTAGAACTCGACTTTTCGGTTTAGCAACCATGAGCTTTACCGACTCGACTACGCCGACCTTGTTTTCTAAAACTGTGTTATTTAAATGTCAACATTGCCTGCGTTTGGATAATAATTATCGGGACACGGGTTTTCCTACACTACCGCATGAAAATCTTGAGTGTATATTAATCACTCACCGAAATAATTAGTTAGAACACACTTCGGTGACCACCCATATGTCAGGGACGTAGAGGGGCGCTATCAGGAGCCCCCCCCCCACCCCCCAATTACACTACCGCAGAGGCGCAGCGTAAGGCCCCTGGCTCCTTAAAACTAACAGGCGCCATCGTGCTCATAGGATAACCCTGCGTGCCAAATAGCATACAATGATGCAGATTTCGTCATAAAGTGACACAAATGAACAGGGTTTTTTTCTTTAACACATACAAAAATTATTTGACGTGTTTTAAACATCAGTTCGACTGATGCAATATGCTAGCGTTACTAATGGTCTATTATTAGATGCTCGGTCTCAATTTCGGCCTGGATCGTCTAATAATAGATGCTTATTGCATCATTCGCAAAGTGACGAAACTCTACAGTAGGTTCCTCATATTCAAACAGTTATTTTTTCATCTTTCGCAAGGTGACGAAACTGTACAGGATTTCCTCGCGTTACAAAGTTATTTTTAGAAGCCTGTTGTAGTTTTACCGCTGAATATGGTAGTACCCCTTACTACTCGCTATACAGGACGCTCGATTAACGGATGCCAAGTGCCAACTTAGTCGCTCTAAAACTCTGGGCGCCAAACCGTGTATTGACGAAAGTTGTACCCTATATGGCGCCGCCCGTAAGAAACTTTAGTTTTCTTTTTCGCAGAAATATTCTCGGGAGTATTCTCATCTACTTCCTAAAGTTTCATGGTACTCGGGTGAACCGCATCCGAGTTTTATTTTTTATATACCGTATATAGAGAAACAAAATCGCCCCCCCCCGGTGGTGCGCCGCCCTTGCAATATTAAACAATATTTTTCACAGAACCCTACCATTGAGTGATCTAATCATCTCCCCAAAGTTTCTTGGTACACAGATGAACGGTGTGAAAACGAAAAAAAAAAAACGAAATTTTATAAACCGTATATAGAGAAAAATCGCAGCCTCCCGTGGCGCCGCCCTTGCGAAAATAAAAATGATTTTTGTACAGAACCCTTCCCTAGAGTTTTCTAATCAACTACCCAAACTTTCATGCCTATCGGATAAACAGTGTGAAATCAAAATAGACTTTTATTTTTATATACCGTAAATGGAGAAAAATCGGACCCTCCACTGGCGCCGCCCTTGCGAAAGTAAAAATTATTTTTTTACAGAACCCTTCCCTAGAGTGGTATAATGAACTCCCCAAAGTCTCATGGCTATCGGATGAACAGTGGGAAATCAAAATAGACTTTTATTTTTATATACCGTATATAGAGAAAAACAAATCGCGCCCTGCCGGGGCGCCACCCCTGCGAATTTGAATTTTTTTTTTTCGCAGAAACCTCCCCAGGAATATTCTCAACAACTTCCCAAAGTTTCACGGCGATGTGATGAGAGGTGTAGTAATGCATAAAGGACACACAGACACACACACACACAGACATACATTGCTTTTTATATATATAGATATATATATATATATATATATATATATATATATATATATATATATATATATATATATATATATATGCTTTGTTTCCTGGGAGGGGGTGACAATACGAAGTGCCGCACCGGGTGACACCCGACCTCGCTACGCCACTGTGCTTGTAGGTTATCAAAACAAAATGCTGTTATCATGTTAACATCATGTATATCATACATTTACACTTCTGTGCTCGCTTTTAAGCAACAGATCTTTTCTGTTGTAAATTAAACATTATCAAAACTTTAGAATTGGTGGAATTTAGCTGTTAAGGGCTCGATTTGTTTGTGAATTAATATTGGTTCATGAAAAAATAATTTCATTCGGGCATTAAAAAGAGGTTATGGTGGTATTGGAGGTAGGACACAATAGTTACTTTTATGCCAATAGTGGTCATATCATTCATTTTTCTGGAGCCAATATATCGGGAGTCATTTTGTCAAAAGCCAATATGTCGGGAGCCCAATTGCCGGGAGCCAATATGTCGGGAGCCCATTTGTCGGTAGCCAAAATGTCGTGAGCCCATTTGCCGGGAGCCCATTTGTCTTGAGCCCTTTTGTCGGGAGCCTAAATGTCGGGAGCCCATTTGTCGGGAGCCTATATGTCGCAAGTCAATATGACGGGAGCCCATTTGACGGGAGCCAATAAGTCGGGGCCCTTTTGACGGGGCTATTTTGACGGGGTCGGTTTGTCGGGAGTCGATTTGACGGGGTCGTATTAACGGGGCCGTTTTGACGGGGCCGATTTGTCCCGGGCCGTTTTGACAGGGCACCAGTTTTAATACAGTGCTCAAGGATCTATTTCAGATAAACCCCACCACTAATGCCAAAAGTCAACGGGAAAACGTTTACAACCCGTTACTTTTTGCCAGCTCCAATTTAATGCACGAAACTTGATTTACTTCTGAGGTCTAGACATTCGAATATTTAAACGCACGCCATAAACACTTGTTTCAACCGGAAGAAAGGAATACAGGTTTAAGGTACGGCCATGATTACCATGGCAATAAAGTTTATTATGAAAGCTGCGCGACACGCTAAATACAACTCCTTATCCGTCTCTAGGGTTTGGGTTGGGTTGGGTTGGGTTGGGTTAGGGCCAAGGTCAAGGTCAAGGTCAAGGTTATGGATAGGGATAGGGTTAGAGATAGGGTTAGGGTTAGGGTTTAGGGTTAAGGTCAAGGTTATTTAGACCATGTGAACATTTAATCGCATGCTATAAATACAACTCATTATTTGCCTCTTCATATCCTATTTTAACAATACTTTTTTTTTTGGTAGGCGGGTGTTAACTTTTAAGCGACATTTATCTGAACGAGATCCTTGCTCAACATACGTCATAATATATTTATGAGCAAATTAAAACAGTATATCAAAGCTATGATGGGACGGAGTGGCCTAGCGGTAGAGAGCTGGAATACTAACCCGTTAGTCTCGAGTTTAAATCCGGGTCCAAGTCAGTAGACCGTCCCTGAGTCCACCCAGCTCTAATGGGTACCTAACTCTCGTAAAAGGCGGCTGGGCATAGTGCTGACCACACTATCACTTTATATGCCGAGGTCACAGAAACAAGTGAACTCTACTTCATTTGTCCTGTAAAGGGAACTTTACTTTTATCACAACTATGACTAATGTTACAACAGAACTTAGACCAGGGGTTCCCAACCTTTTTTTACTCTAGAGCACATTCTAAAATATCGGTAGGGTGGCGGGCACCACCTATTTTAAATCGACAAACTCCTTCCATAACTTGTCATTTTCCGATAATTTATTTTCTTATTTTCTAATTTTTTTTATAGATCTAGTCATAATGTATTAATAAATAATAAACAAAAATGTTTCAAAATAATAAAATTATTTGGCATTTTTTTTCAAATTGCATACACACAGAGAAATGTATTTACAAAACGTAAATAGTGCAGTCTGGTTAATAAACCTAGGAAGTCAAAAAAAAATTAAAACTGTAACAAATGAAGAAAAAAAAATCATATTTTAAAATAATGTTTATGAAAAAAATTCTGTCTCTGTCGAATAGTGAGAGGCGGGCACATACGAATCGTTCAGCGGGCGCCATGGCTCCCGCGGGCACAGGGTTGAGAACCCCTGACAGACTAACAACAATAAACAATAAATCGATTCTACATTACGCAAAATCCATTTTTCTTAAAGCGGTTTGAAGGCCAGTTCATGTTTTTGTTCACATATCGAGATGGAATAAGGGACAATAAAATGTTCTGTGCACATAAAACGCGATTGATCTGAATAAAACGAAAGTTTATTGTGAGCGGGTTTTACATTAACACTGTATGCATCAGCTGTGTTGTGTTGGGTAAACATTAGGTGAGACATTAGGTGAGATTTGTGTGAAACTTTAGGTGAAACTTTAGGTGAGATTTGTGTGAAACTTTAGGTGAAACTTTAGGTGAGATTTGTGTGATATTTTAGGTAAACTTTAGGTGAAATTTGTGTGAACTTTTAGGTGAAGCTTTAGGTGAAACTTTAGGTGAAGCTTTTGGTGAAACTTTAGGTGCGATTTGGGTGAAACTTTAGGTGAAACTTTAGGTGAGATTTGGGTGAAACTTTAGGTGAAACTTTAGGTGAAACTTTAGGTGAAACTTTAGGTGAAATTTTAGATGAAACTTTAGGCGAAACTTTGTGTGAAACTTTAGTGAAACTTTAGGTGAAACTTTAGGTGAAACTTTAGGTGAGATTTGGGTGAAACTTTAGGTGAAACTTTAGGTGAGATTTGTGTGAAACTTTAGGTGAAACTTTAGGTGAAACTTTAGGTGAAACTTTAGGTGAAATTTTAGATGAAACTTTAGGCGAAACTTTGTGTGAAACTTTAGTGAAACTTTAGGTGAAACTTTAGGTGAAACTTTAGGTGAGATTTGGGTGAAACTTTAGGTGAAACTTTAGGTGAGATTTGTGTGAAACTTTAGGTGAAACTTTAGGTGAAACTTTAGGTGAAACTTTAGGTGAAACTTTAGGTGAGATTTGGGTGAAACTTTAGGTGAGATTTGGGGGAAACTTTTGGTGAAATTTTAGGTGAAACTTTTGGTGAAACTTTAGGTGAAACTTTAGTGAAACTTTAGGTGAAACTTTAGATGAAACTTTTGGTGAAACTTTAGGTGAAACAATAGGTGAAACTTTAGGATAAATTTTAGATGAAAGTTTAGGCGAAACTTTGTGTGAAACTTTAGGTGAGCTTTGTGTGAAACTTTAGACGAAACTTTAGGTGAGATTTGGGTGAAACTTTAGGTGAAACTTTAGGTGAAACTTTAGGTGAGATTTGGGTGAAACTTTAGGTGAAACTTTAGGTAAGATTTGGGTGAAACTTTAGGTGAGATTTGGGTGAAACTTTAGGTGAAACTTTAGGTGAAATTTTAGGTGAAACTTTTGGTGAAACTTTAGGTGAAACTTTAGTGAAACTTTTGGTGAAACTTTAGATGAAACTTTTGGTGAAACTTTTGGTGAAACTTTAGATGAAACTTTTGGTGAAACTTTAGGTGAAACAATAGGTGAAACTTTAGGATAAATTTTAGATGAAATTTTAGGCGAAACTTTGTGTGAAACTTTAGTGAAACTTTAGGTGAACTTTAGATGAAACTTTAGATGAAATTTTAGGTGAAACTTTTGGTGAAATTTTAGGTGAAAGTTTTTGTGAAACTTTAGGTAAAAATTTAGGTGAAACTTTGTGTGAAACTTTAGTGAAACTTAAGTAAAACTTTAGGTGAAACTTTAAGTGAAACTTTAGGTGAAATTTTAGGCGAAACTTTGTGTGAAACTTTAGTGAAACTTTTGGTGAAATTTTAGGTGAAACTTTTATAGAAACTTTAGGTAAAATTTTAGGTGAAACTTTAGATGAAACTTTAAATAAATTTTAGTTTAAACTTTAGGTAAAACTTTAGGTGAAAATTTAATTGAAACTTTAGGTGAACATTTGTGTGAAGCTTTTGTTGAAACTGTTGGTGAAACTATCCCAAATGTTTTTTATTTAAAGAATTTTTTTAAAAACCTATTTTTAAAAGTGTGAACAAGTAGTAAGCCTATACTCCAATTCGAGCCTTCAAACGACCCAATAAAAACGTGTTTTATTTTACAAAAAAAAAATCAACCTACCAAACTGGATCCATTTGTAGTTTGTTTCGCTGTCACGACAATCTGAGTTTTTGTACTCGTCTTTTCCCCTGTATCAAAATTATAATCTTCGTCTACCCCCGCCCTATCAACGTTCGATAACTCGCGTTTCTTGTTGGCTAAAATCTCTGTGGCGTTGCCGTTTTTTCTTTCTCGAGACGAGGAGAGTTGTCTTTTCCTGATCGAGTCCCGAATGCTGTTCGGGCGGTTCCGTAAGTAGTCGTCGAGTTCTTGTTTTTCAAACTGCGCCCGAGTGTTCGTTCTGAATAGAAAATGTTGAAATCTGATAGGGATCGTGTCGTTGGTATACACAAGGACAATAGGACAGTTTAACATACCACACCCTGTATAAAAGTGTTAACATCACATGCCATGATGAATAGGAAATTAAGACATAACTCACCTGGGTGTGTAGGTAATAAAGACATCACTCACCTGATTGTATAGAAAAATCATCCCTGGATGTATAAAAATTCATCACTCACCTGAATTTATATAAAATTCATCACTCACCTGAATGTATAAAAATTCATCACTCACCTGAATATATAAACATTCATCACTCACCTGAAATATAAGAATTCATCACTCACATGGATCTATATAAAATTCATCACTCACATGAAGTATAAGAATTCATCACTCACCTGGATCTATATAAAATTCATCACTAGCTGGATCTATATAATATTCATCACTAACCTGAATGTATAAACATTCATCACTCACATGAAGTATAAGAATTCATCACTCACTTGGATCTATATAAAATTCATCACTCCCCTGAACGTATAAAAATTCATCACTCACCTGGATACATAAGAATTCATCACTCACCTGGATACATAAAAATTCATCACTCACCTGGATACATAAAAATTCATCACTCACCTGAACGTATAAGAATTCATCACTCACCTGGATCTATATAAAATTCATCACTCACCTGAATGTATAAAAATTCATCACTCACCTGAAGTATAAGAATTCATCACTCACCTGGATCTATATAAAATTCATCACTCACCTGAATGTATAAAAATTCATCACTCACCTGAAGTATAAGAATTCATCACTCACCTGGATCTATATAAAATTCATCACTCACCTTGATGTGTAGGAAATGATGACAATGAAACTGGTCACTGACAAAATGAAGACAGTGACAGAGGCGCATTGTAGTTTGGTTCTCATAGCTGGGGTAAAGAGAAGGGAAAGGTTGTTATACAACATTTGTTGGAGAAGAGCTAAAACTGTTAAAGAACAACAGTTGGAGTAGAGAAGAGCTAAAGTAGTTAGAAAACAAAAGTTGAAGTAGAGAAGAGCTAGAGTTGTTAGACAACAAAAGTTGGAGTAGAGAAGAGCTAAGGCTGTTAGAAAACAACAGTTGGAATTTAGAAGAGTTAAAGTTGTTACACAACAAACGTTGGAGCAGAGAAGAGCTTTAGTCGTTGAATACCAACAGTTAGTGTCAAGAAGAGCTAAAGTTACATAACAGCTAACTTAGAGTAGAGCTTAAATTGTTACACAACAACAGCTGAAGTAGAGATGAGCTAAACTTGTGATTCAACAATCCCTTGAGAACAGAAGAGCTAACGGTGTTTATACAACTATTGGTGGAGTAGAGAGGACATAGAATTTGTTATACAGATACAGCTAGAATAGAGAAGAGGTAAATTTGTGATTCAACAATCCCTTGAAAAAAGAAAAACTTAATTTACAATACAAAAAAAAAAAGAAACACCAGCCAACGTCAGACAAAAACCATTACACCAGCAACGCGCTGAATGAAACTTTTTTTTTATCACAACAACTACCTTAAGTAAACGCCAGCCAGTCTTTGTTCATTCTATGCACGGCACTGTTTACCTACTTTACAGACATAACATGATCATCTGTTCCCCTGCCCACCCCACTACACCACTTCCTGCCAGGAACCAGACACTCTCCGGGTAGTTACGTCAGGTCAGAATGACCTAAACTTTTACAACATTGTGACATGTATATTTAAAAAAAAACATCATCCAGTGTCAATCTTGTAAGGGCCAAAGTTTACATGATTCGGATCGTGGAGATTTCGAGATATAAACACGAAGCTCAGACTCTTTCTAGAACCTTCTTATTTTTTGTTATACACAACTAGACACACGATGCTCATGAGAAACGTGTTCTTTGTTAAAAATCTTATAATGAAATATTTCTTAAACATAAATCCACACATAATATCACGAAAAAGGGGTCATAATATTTCGGGAAACCTAGTAATATATATATATATATATATATATATATATATATATATATATATATATATATATATATATATATATATATATATATATCTATATATATATATTTCAAGTTAAATTAATGTAATTAAATAGCAACTGGACGGCACTAGAGAGCTAGACTACTAACCCAAATGCCTCGAGTTCGAATCCGGTTCAAGTCAGTAGAATGTCCCTGTAGAATGGATACCTATCTCATGTCAGGGAAAACAAATGCTGACCACATTACCACTTCATATGCCGAGGTCTCTGAAGCAGATGAACTCTACTTCATCTGTCCCATGTGTGTTGGGCACGAACGGGGAAAAGATGATAAATTAAATATGAAGTATGAAAACACTCACTATGATCATTTCTACTTACTCATAATTTGTACAATTAAAGCTGTCCACTCAATGTTTTACTTCCTATTGAACGACAACTCAGCCCTAATCGAGAACAAGATAGTAATATAAAATTCAGTTGAATATTGTTTACTTTGTGTATTTGACTCATTATATCCATGTGAACACCAATATAGACATAATGTAAAAACATCGAATATAGTTACCAAACATTTATTTTTAAAAAATTCTGTGTGAGTAATATAGGTTGAACTGTCAATAAAACTAGGACTGTTATGTATACAAACCAAAAACAAGTTTTTAATTAATACAAAAACAAAATGTAATCCTTAGAACAGTAAACAATCCAGTAACGATAACTATTGTTCAGCCCCGCGCGGAAAATGAAAAACATGCTTCAGTATCGATCAAAAATAAAATAACGAAATAAAGTGTTTATTTCTCACATAAAGTTTTAGTCTTGAATGTGTTAGCCACCCTTGCAAAGGTTTAACTCCCCTTTCAATTCATCCGCTTTGCAGTTGAAATGATTAGCTGTAAGTATATATCCGTGTTTAACCAAGCGTTGTGGTTTTTAAAAAAAAGAATACTGTTCTCGTGCTGTGTTAAAGTACGACGTGCGTCGTTGCAAGTGTGTGTGACAGTGTGTGTGTTGTGTGTGTGCATATATGTGGGACGGTGTGTGTGTGTGGGTGTGTGTGTGCATATATGTGGGACAGTGTGTGTGTGCATATGTATGTGTACATGTGAGTGTCACAGGGTGTGTGCCAGTGTGTAGGTGTGTGTAACAGTGTATGAAGGTGTGTGTGGTGTGTGTACATATGTGTGTGACAGTGTGTGTGACAGTGTGCGTGGTGTGCGTGCATATGTGTGTAACAGTGTGTGTGTGACAGTGTGTGTGTGTGACAATGTGTTTGTGTGTGACAGTGTGTGTGATACTGTGTGTGTGTGTGACAGTGTATGTGCATGTGTGTGACAGTGTGTATGTGTGTGTACTTATACGTGCGACAGTGTGTGTGACAGTGTGTGTGACAGTGTGTGTGACAGTGTATGTGTATGTATGTGTGTGTATGCGTGTGTATCAGTACCCTGTCTTGGCAGCGACGAATGTTTGCCAGCCCGTGAAAGAGTGCGACACGATTGTCAGATGTGTGTCAAGATTGTGCAGCTGATCAGAGGAATGTGTAGCTTTAACACGGCTGGTTAACTCAGGCTACAGATCAAAGGGGAATCAACTCGAACAGAATTATCTAATACAAGTTTTAATTCTATTAAAGTCTATAAACAAATTTTATATATATATATATATATATATATATATATATATATATATATATATATATATATATATATATATATATATATATATATATTATATATATATATATATATATATATATATATATATATATATATATATATATATATATATATATATATATATATATATATATACTTGGTAGTTCCTCTAGGCGCCGAGAGTATTGCTATCCTCGCCTTAAGCAATATCTAACATTGAAATGACCATATCTATAATCGAAGTCACAACACTAACGTTTTTCTTACAGTAACCCTAACCTTGGCCTAATCCTCAGACCTTATTCAGACGCTAGACGAACTGAACCTAGTCTAATGTTTATCCCTAGACGCAGTAGCGTAGCGAGGGGGGGGGGGGGGCGGGGGGGGACATATGTCCCCGGGCGCCGAGCTTAGGGGGCGCCAAAATGGGTTTGAAAAATAAATTGAAAGGTTGAGGGGGGTGCAAATTGAAAGTTTGAGGGGGGGGGTGCTAATCGAAAATTTTGTCCCCGGGCGCCGGGAAGGGTCGCTACGCCTCTGCCTAGACGTAAACTTTACAGTACAGCAATCACGTACCGATCACCTGTATACGGCTTAGCCCTTAAATCAACAAACACAATCAATTCTTTCTTATCTGTAAAATCCCATCTACTCTATGAATAGATTCAAATCCAAAACACATGGCCCTAAAATGTTAGTTATAAAACTTAGCCGTACCAAGATGATGTTGGGGTGTGTCCTCCCCTTGCTTTTTGTTCCCTTTTTGATCATTACAATAATTGCAAACACATTTTCCACATTATGTATCTGTTCGCTGTTGTAAAAGATTACAATTATTCTGTATCTTAAGTGTGGATTATTTTATCAGTTGGTTTTGTAATCTTAAATTAATCTCGCGTCTACCTCCATTGCTGTTTTTGATACATTTTGAACGCCGAATGTGGACATAATTCGATCTGGACAAAAGGCCGACACAAAAAAAGGCCGACATTGATAAAAGGCTGATATTGATAAAATACCGACATGGACTAAATGCCGACACGGAGAAAAGACCGATTAACTATAACGAAAAAATAGACACTCGGGACGAACTAAAATTAAAGCAGGAAATATATTAAAAAAATTCTATTTTTATTATGTTTCCACCTTAACACTAACACTCACTGGAACAAAAATCCTGAGCATAACTCCAACGTTGACCGTAATCTTAATCCAGTACTTAACACTGAATCCAACCTAAATCTAGCCTCGTTCAGTAAAAACTGTAAAATCTATATTCAAGTTACCACACAGACGGTGTAGTCTACTGTTTACAAAGCACCAAATCTCACTACACACTGGGCGGTGCTGAGAGTGAATGTGTAAGTTAAAAACTTTGATTTGACCTAGGTGTTTATAAGTTTAAACTAGGCTTATCGTTGAACAGTGGCGTCGCTGTCGGGTGTCACCCGGTGTGGCGTCAACCCCCCCCCCCCCACAAGAAACAAAGTATATAAATATATACATATATATATATATATATATATATATATATATATATATATATATATATATATATATATATATATATATATAACGCCCAACGTAATCCTATAATTTAAACATATGCCACATACCCATGCATGTATGTGTATAAGCTTTAATCACTGCAGACTTAATAGTAACGATGTTTATCTTTGGTTTGTTAATAATACTGTTGGAAGTAGCATTGTTTTTTACTCTAGTTAGCACGTTACGTCATAGTTTCACCCCAACCCTCTTGTAATAATTGTCTATTTGTACCTGAAAGACTATTCAACTTAAATTGATCATTAATATAACTGGCAAATACAAGATTTTTTTCTGTACATGTTGCAATTTTTCGCCTTGGTGTCACCCCCCACCCCCTTAATTGGTGTCACCCGGTGCGGTCCGTACCCCCGCCCCGCCCTCGCTACGCCTATGTCGTTGAATCAATGTAAAAGTGCTATTTTTTTTAAAGATTTATTTCGTATAAAAACTGTGATTTGACTTAGGTGTCGTTTACTAATTAAAACCAGGCGTATCGTTGAATGAATGTAAAAGTACATTCTCCTTAGATTCATTTCGTATTTACTGGGTTTCTTTAAAATTTATTTTTATTGAGGTCTTGTTGTGTGCATAGAGGGTGTGGAGGTAGGGTGTGGTCAAAGTATAGTCCGAAATTTTGTTAAAAATAGTTTTGTTCTAACTTAATGAAGTAAGTAGTAAGGGGTGGGTTAAAACTTGTCAGTTAACACGTAGACCCATATATATATATATATATATATATATATATATATATATATATATATATAGGCCTATATCAGAACTATATTATGTGTATTATAAAAATGTGAAATGAACAATCGTAACCGGATTAAACGTACCCTCGCATGTATCTATAACCTAACTTGAGACACGTTTTATTTTAAGATCCATGTGGGTGTTCCACTCCCAACCCACACCCCTCGAATGTTTACACTGCCCTCAATAATTTTGATTGATCAATTCTCAGTAAAATTCAGCTTGATTTTGTTTATCGAGTTCATACTTTGCGGCTACTTTAGTCTAGTGTAACATTTGGTGATAAAAGTCTGTTGATAAGTAAATTGTTTGAAACTTTTCTAAACATAGACTTAACACTTAATTTTACATCTTTCCTACAACTCTTCAAAACTAAAATTTGTCTGCGTGTTGCCTTGTCCACAACAAAAACAAACAAAGAATGTCACAATCTCTTTACAACAAGTTAGTTTGTTAACGTAATACCATTCTTCTATGTTGATCTACGTCTGATTAGACATAATGCAGATAGTTAGTAAGTTACAAGAAAAAATAACATATTTTTTGACAGTCGAGTAAGGCAGAAATATAAGTAGGCCTATACTGCTCTTATTCTAATATGCATTTTCAATCAATGTTTTATCAATTGTAAATCAAGAAATTTTATGTAATTTAAATGTAATATGGTGATCCTATAAAACAGTTATATTTATGTTTATAATTAAGGGATTACAACATCTGTTTATTTTTTTATGAAAATTAACAAGACGATCCAGATTAACTGTTTGTACAACGATAAAATTTAAACATGTAGTTAACAGCTTATTTCAAAACATGAAATAAGTAATCTTCGATTCATAAAAATCTTACCTAAAAACTTAAGTTAACCGCTTATTTCATACACACAAAAAAGTAATCTCCACTACATAAAAATCTTACCTGAAAACATAAGTTAACAGCTTATTTCATACATACACACACTCACAAACACACACACACAGGTAATCACTACATAAAAAATCTTACCTAAAAACGTAAGTTAACCGCTTATTTCATACACACACACACACACACACACACAAGTAATCACTACTTTAAAATCTTACCTAAAAACATAAGTTAAAAGCTTATTTCTAAACACGAAATCAGTAATCTCCGATTCATAAAAATCTTACCTAAAAACTTATTTCATACACACACAAAATAAAAATAAAAAAACCTCCGCTACAGAAAAATCTCACTTGAAACGTAAGTTAACAGCTCATTTCTAAACATGAAATCAGTAATCTCCAATACATAAAAATCTTACGTGAAAACATAAGTTAACAGCTTATTTCTAAACATGAAATCAGTAATCTCCAATACATAAAAATCTTACCTGAAATATTTCAGAACACCTGTGGATTACTACCAATCCCTGGTACCACTGTAAAAAAAAAACACCAGCCCCAGTTTTGGTTCTAGAGTCGCACACACTCCACCCGCCCCTCAATGGGCCACCCTGCGTGCCGTGCCAGCTCCGGTACGGGACCAAAGCACGGCGGCAGGAGGCGCAACTCTGCCCCAAGTCTTGCGATGACCCCGTTCCGCGTTGTTTAACTGGGGGAAGGGGGGAGGGTGGGCGGAACACGACATATCGTCTGCGGTTAAAGTTTACAGACGAAACCCGGAGCTTTAGCTAGATGTAGGATGTGTATTTAAAAAAAAAAAAAAAAAAAAAAAAAAAAAAAAAAAAAAAACCAACACATTGTTCTTCCTATTTCGTTGTTTTTTTGGGTTTTTTTTTTTTTCATATTTTTTGGGGCTATGTGAACACATTTTAAAAAAAAAAAAAGTATTGTTCTAATTCCTTTTATTCTGGAGTTAGTTCCCTTTGATGCACGCATGTGAACGCTCGTGAAGACGCAGACAAGATTTTAAAAGCACTGTTTTTCTCATTTCGTCACTTACTTTGTTGTATTATAGTTCATTTTGACACACAAATTCTTATACTCACAGACATTATTACCTATATACATACACACAAATAAACATATATAGGCGATGTTATACATACATACATACATACATATATATATATATATATATATATATATATATATATATATATATATATATATATATATATATATATATATATATATATGTATGTATGTATGTATGTATAACATCGCCTATATATATATATATATAGGTTAAATACCATACACATAATTTAATATAATTGGCTACTATGGCGCTTCAAACTAGTGCCTGCCTTAGACGCAAACAGCAAAAAAAAAAAAGTGTATAAAATGATAAGGTATTACGTGTCAATTCGTTATGCCCCATATAGGCCGCTGATCCCGATTTCAGCCTGTTTTCTTTTATTTGGGGTTTGCTTCCTTAGCCATGGAACTCGGGACAAAGATGTAGAAAGATTGAGCTTCTAAAATCCAATGAACATAGTTGAGTGTTTAGACCCAACCAGTAATATTTTAACACCATCCCAACCAGAGTTTCTTCCAAGCATCTCTGCGGCGCCGGTCCCCCCCCCCCCCCCCCCCGAAAAATGTCTACTTCCTCCCCCCCCCCCTCCTCCCCCCCCTCCCCCCACGAACGAAATATAATTTACACAGAAAATATATACCCCCCACCCGGTAAAAAAAAGTCTGGAAGAAACACTGATCTCAATCTCCATCACAGTCATCGTTAGAAGGCGTTAGAAGACCCAACTCAAAGGTTCTTGTGTGTTGAAAACAGGGTGTAATAATTACACGAACCATTTTACACGTTGGGCATAGTGCTGAAAACACTATCTTTTCATATGCCGAGGTCACAGAAACAGGTGAACTCTACTTCACTTGCCTCATAGAAGGGGAATTTTTACTTTTTTTTTATACACGAATACACTGCTAGGGCTGGTGATGATGTATTTACAAAAGGGAGGTAAGCCGTGTTTATTTATTTAAAAAAAAATAGGCATACAACAGTTGCTACCCTTAGAGTCCGTTTAGTACTTGTTTTTGTTTATTCTGCAGCATCAAAACAAGAACTACAAATTTATGTGCAAAAATTAATAGATTAATTAATTAAGTTGAACGCCGAGGAAAAGCTGTTGAAGTTATTTTTATAATATAAAACAGTTCACGGCTTTTAATCAACACAGAGGCAGATCATTTTTCATTATTCACAATTTGCATAGTTCTATAGGGCCTATAGATCTAGTTTAGCTAGGCCTACAGTATTTATATTATTTTATATTATTTTGTATTTATCATAGAACTAGTTTAACTGAAAATTTTAAAATAAAAAAAATAGATCCAGACTATCTTCTATAATCTATATTCTATATTGAGTATATTCTTAGCCAATGTATAAGTATAGTTTTAGTATAGCCTACTTCTTACTACTACTACAACGACAACTAGTAAGACTTCTGTTAATAATTTGGATATATTTTGATTAAATGTAGGCAATATATCATTGTTACGTTGTAGCCTAGTTAACCTTATCAAATTAAATAGATTTCAAATGAAATTTAAAAACAAACAAACAGGTTAATAAGCGCAGGATTTTAACTTAGTTACCGTAACTAGGTTACAGATACAAATTTACTGTTTAAAATTACTGTTAAATTTAAATAAACTTCAATCGGAGAGATCGCATCGCTAATAAAATCTAAGGGAACCTACTCTTGACTTTCCAATCAATGTGTTTGACTGAGTAGGATAGTATAGTATAGTATTACTATTAATTAAAGTATTAATAGTAAGATTCTTACTAAGAATAATTTAAATTTTACTAGACTTTGACTTTTGACTTAAGCCTGAAGAAATCATTCAGACATTTAATATTTTTAGAATAAATGTTAGGCTATTTTCATACCATAAAATACATCTTTGAGTAGGCTACATTGAAGTACATTGTCATAGTAATAGTTACAGTATTATTTATTAGTAGTCACTTCAGACTATGATTAGTTGCATAGTAAGTAATTTGTACTCTAAACTTCGCAGATGATAAGGTTTTTAAATTGAAAGAAAAATGTCAGCTATTATTAAGTACTAGATCTAGGCCTATTAATTATAATTAAGTATACCACATACTGCCACATAGAGATCTGCTATATTTATTTTTTGTTTACATTTTCTGTGATAAAAATATAGATCTAGAATCTAGACTAGATCTAGATCTAATTGTAAATTAATGAACTAATAGTTTTTGGCTTTTTTTTTAATTTTGTTAAGTGACTAAAAAATAAGTAAAAATACTAAAATCAAATCTATAATCATCCCAAATGGGCTTACATCTAATCTTTTGTAATGACCAACTGAAATCAAACCATCAAAAGTTTTATAGGCCTAACCCTCACCATATTTATTTTAAAAACATAGTATATGATTTTTTTAAATATTTAATGGGCCTTTCAAATAATTTCAATCTCTTCTTGGTTGTGTCCATTAACAAAAATAGTCTGGTAAAATTAAAATAACTAGCCTAGGCCTAAACTTATTATTTAGTATTTTTCTATAATGTTGATTACATTCTCATAACTAGTAGTCTAGAACCTACAAATAAAAATGCATTAATTTATTTAACACTATTAATCATTAGCCTATAAAAACTACTTAGTAGCCTACGTAGGCCCATGTTCTAAGTAAATCATAAGTAGGCCTAAGCCTTAAATTATTAGGGCTTTTTTAATTATCTGAGTTTTCTTTTTTTTTTGTATTTTTTAAAATTAATCAGGAACTTTAAACAACAGAAAGATTAAATAAAAAATTCCAAAAATTTTTACTGGATGGCTCAAGAAAAAGATATAAATACAAGTGTTTGAATAACTGATCATTCCCATTTTTTTTTTTCAGTTAAAGAACGCATCATTTTTTAAAAGTCCACACTGCAAAAAATACAGTAAGAAAATGGCAGATATTCATCATTGTGAGATTTGCTCTTTAGAATTTTCTTCTATAAAGAAATTATCTAAACACTGGAGAAAAAGGCACCCTGATGTTGAAACACTACAGTGTTGTTTCTGTCAATATGTTACTCAGGAGGATTTTTTGTTTTCTAAGCATAAGGATAACTTCCACGCTGAGGATAGGTTGGGATGTGAATATTGCGCTTACACAAGTAGGAAGTGGCGAAAAATAAAAAAACATCACACCAAAATGCACTTATCATCAGGAGAATCTGTCTCACCTTCAGAACTACCTCGTACGATTCTAGAGGAAAAAGAAAATTTAATCCAGCCTGAATTGACAGCTGAACCGGTTGTAAAATTATCAAAACAAAGAACCAAAAAACCTGCAGTTCAGACATTTGTTTGTGATGTTTGCCAAAATGTGTGTTTTTCAGCGGCCCATTTGTCATCTCATCAAGTATTGCACACGCCAATGCAATGTTACATTTGTAGCAACTGTAATAGGATCTTCAGCAGTGGTAGTGTTTATGACAAACACATTAAAACACATTATAGACCCAAACCTTTTAAATGTGTCAAATGTGAAAAATATTTTTCAAGCAGGGATGGTCTTTACAAACACATGAGAACACATAATTCTCGTCAGAGGTATACATGTGATCTTTGTGATTTCAAATCAATTTCAGATACGATGTTTGCAGCCCATTGCAGAACTCATTTAATCACAAAACCCTCTGAAGCAACAAACCGAAATGGATCAGAATTGTGTGATGTATGTCATTATGTGTTTAAATCAACAGCACACTTGTCCATGCATCAGTTAGTACACACTCGCCTAAAATGCTACATTTGCAGCATGTGTAACAGGGGATACAACAATGACATGGATTACGATACGCACATAAGAACACATTTTAAATTCAGACCGTTCCACTGTGAAATATGTGAAAAATCATATACAATGAGAAAGTGTCTTAAAGTTCACATGAGGAAACATACTGGAGAATTCTATTACACATGCGACAAGTGTGACTTCACATCGAACACAAGCAGCAGTTTTGCACAACATAAGAAAAGACAACACTCTAGCACAAAACCTTTTAAATGTGATACCTGTGACTACGCAGCTGTTGGCAAATCTTCTTTAACTAGGCATTTAATAACTCACACAGGGGAGAAGCCATACTGTTGTGGTCAATGTGAGTACAGGTGCAATAAGCTTGGTAACTTAAACAAACACAAGAAACAAATGCACAGCATGTGATCGTGTTATAATATTATGGCACGTCAATAATATACAAACATTTGTACTAAGTTTATTTTTTATTGAGTGCTACATGATGGATTTTTTAATCAATAAGTTCCTGCTAAACAATAAACTAAATCGCCTCCATTAAAAAACATAAAAGACCTCTGTTATGCAGAAAAAAGCAGGAACATTTCTTTAGTTATAATTGATTTTACTTTCTGATTTAGTATTTCCTTTTACAAACTGTAAATTTTCTGCATATAAATGTATTATCTATTCACATTGCCTGATGGTTTACTATTTATTGTTAACCGTTATTTTATTAAGCAAAGATCAATACCTTTTTTTTAAACTAGGTTTCAAATCTAAACTTTAAAAAAAACAACTTAAAATAGGTTTATTACAGAACATTTTACATTCATTAATTTATTATAATGATTTTCACATGACAATGTTACCTCATGGAATGTTATTTGTTATTAGACCTACACGTTGTGAAATAAATAAATTCAATCATTGTCTTTTCTTCTTCTTCTTCGTTCTTAATTATTAGTGTTGTCATTTGATTTGTTAAATTTCAATTTAATAACCTATATTTATATAGCAAGAAGCTAAAGGCTTGTAATATTTGTATGATTATATATTAGTTTTTCTCACTAAATCTAGAATTTACGCAATTATCAATTTAAACATGACCACTGAATAATAGACATCCATATTTAGGTAATCTATCGTTTTAGCGTAATCAATTCGGTCGCCACTAGTAATGTAGGGATAAGGTAACTAATAAATATGGCTTAAATATGAATATATTTTAGTATATTCTACTAAAATACTAAAGATAATTGAATATTAAACCACATTTAAAGGTTAAATCAATAAAAATGTCTTGAAATTAAGGTTTAACAACGATGTTCCAGATACTAAAATTGCTATTAAAAACAGCGGCCATCTTAAGAAAATATTATTTTGAGTCATTTCCCTTTCATTTCTATTTGTATAGAAATGTATTGATGTTTGCTATTAAATACGTTTGTCTTGTGTTTAAATACAAAGCATGCGTTGTTTTTTTTTCTGACCTTTAAACAATTTAATTGACTGACAATAAACATCAGTTCTAGAATTATTATTATGAGATGCAATTTTATACATTAAGAAACTCCCTATTTTTATAGAGCTACCACAACATATCTAATGTTTATTTAAATATTAGTTTGAGTTAATTGTTATTGCTTGTGTTATTGTTTGTTTGCTATTTTCATGCTTTCTTCCTTTAATTAGTGATTTAATCATAAATGACGTCACGTTTTTTTTACCTCTCTTCACCTTAAACCCCCCACCCCTCCCCCCATTTTCGCCGTCACGAAATAGTCGTAATGTCGAACATTACCTTTTTGCCCTGCCTGTTAAGTTAAGCCATAATTCAAACGAAAAAGAATTTTTTCGGCCTTTTTGTATTAGGCGAAATACATAATGTTTCACGTTTCTTACCCCTCCCCTTTCCCGCGTAAAACGTCGTCTCAAAATCAGTTACTCCACCCCTTAAGTGCGTGATGTCATTTATGGTAGATGTCGTCCTAACCTCCAATACACATTTTGAACAACCTTTGTTGTCAAAATGTTGATACCAAATACCCAAAATGAGTTATATGGGGTTGTCCATAAACGATGTCACATATGCTATTCTAATGTGACGTCAATTTACGCAGGACTGCAATTTATGACCTATAATGAAGGGGTGATCGGGGGGGGGGATGAGTGACGTCAATTACGGAAGACTTCTATAAAGCTGTGCTCAATGAAAATGAGGAACATAAAGCGTTCGTTTTCATGCATACCTTTGCTCATAACGAATGATCATAACTATTGCAAGCCTGTTGTCTTTAGAGGTGTAAACAACCTCAGCACATCATCCCCGCCAAAAAGGGCCTGCCACTAAATGCCTACCGGCGAAAATAGGCCGCACTACATTGACTCCAAATGAAATAACTTCTGACAATAAGACTCAAACCAACTAGCTCCTGGCAACGATATTCGACAAGAATCCAAGTCAATTATTGGCTTGCAGGTAAAATTGGACAAAACAGAAGTTTCGCGACATGGGGCATAACAAAAGATCAACCCTTAATACGACAACAGCTAATGTAAAAAGCCAGAGCTCAGTATAGGCTTGAGTTTAATATAGAAATAGTGTTAGCAGTGGACGGTGCATTAGGAATACGGCAGTCGGCTAAACGCCCGAGTCCGACGATGTCTGAACATCAAGTTTGTCTTTTATGAAGTGCGGAGCACCTTTAAGAGCTGAGCTTGGGGAGGGGGTCCCTGTTGACACCACCACTAGCGCTGCTTATGTCCACATATCAATCACAAGTTTTGCGTGGAGCTTAATGGACAGACGAAGTTTATATGTGGGACCGGGAGTCTAAATGTATTTACGGAAGCCGCTGTGTCACAGGCATTTTACAGCCGATCGTCTCAGGGCAGCAGGTTGCAGAAATTAAAAGCACGTGAATTCGTATAGTAGAGGGAGAACATCATGCCTCTGTAATAAATTAAACACCAATATAATTTACCGTACTAAAGTCATTTAGATCTATTCGTCAGACTAAACGTCGCTAAAGTCTCAACGCAATACTGCCTGTTTTGACTTTTTTAATTACGCGGTATCTCTTTCTTTAACATTAGCCAAATGACAAATGACGTCACGCGCGCCGAGAACTTGGTGACGTTGTGCTTAGTGGGGGATGAAACGGCGGGGTCGAGAAAAATGACGAATTTCTTTTTTTAAACAGACGAATAAGTGATAGATTCTAATTTTCCTACGAACTATAGGTTGATCTAGTTTTTTTTTTCTAGGGGGAGATATCACTACATAGTGGGTGTTTTTTGTTTTTGTAATAAAGGATGGTGGGGATGGGTAAACATCGACTATTGAACAAATAAAAAAACTGATGAAAGCAGAAGGCAAAGAAAAAAACCCATGTGGTATTCAGATGTAACTAATTAAAATTTAAAACTATTTTTATAAACACAATAATCTTAATTCAGAAAAAGTGTAGGCCAAAGACTAATGTCCACAGACAAAATAAACAACTAGGCTTAAATGGATCACCCATAAACAGTGCCGGCGCCAGGTTATTTAGTTAATAAAAGCGCCCCCCCCCCCTCTGCAATTTTTTTCATGCCCCCGTATTATCAGAGGCGTAGCGACCCTTCCCGGCTCCCGGGGACAAGCTTACGATTTGTACCCCCCCTCAAACTTTCAATTTGTTTTTCCAACCCATTTTGGCGCCCCCCCCCCCCCCGTCCCCCCCCCCGTCCCCGCCTACGGACAGCACCCTAGGCGACAGCCTAGTTCGCATTATAGGTAGCGCCGGTCCTGTCCATAAATGACGTCATACTTTTCCCGATGAATTCCCTTTCCCCCAATCGTCACTAAAAGCAAGATGATGATTTAATATCATATCGCAGTTCTACTATACCCGAACGCGTAATCACAATTTCTAACGAAAACGAATATATTCTTCATCATTTTAAAAAAAAAAATATTTTACCCCGTCCCATATTTTGAGTCCAACGTCATTTATGAAGAATATGGACGACCTAATAATTGACAAGTTCATCAGTACAAAAGGGTTTAATAAATGATGGACCTCCCAAAAGGTTTTGAGATCTTGGATGTACATACATACATAGCCTTCATTTCAATTGAAATTAAAGATAAGAATATGGCCCTCTGCCCTACTTATATTAAACAAGACAACTATGTATATTCAACAACAAAGTCAACACAATACACATACGAATAGACATTTGTATCAAGGGAAACTACTCTAAATTTTATTTGGAAAGATTGCCGCTGTTTTTATCTACTAATATTTATCTCAAAGACCTAGTTTAAAGTTAGTTTCATGATATTTTAAATTGTTTTGGTCACTGATTGTTATTTTTAATCAATTATCTGTTATATTTTGTAAAATTTGACTTAAATATACTTATTTAAACAAATATATTCATCAGTTACCTCTCCCGCACATTACTACTGCAGCCGAATTGATTACGCTAAAACGATAGATTACCCATATTTAATCCATTAGGCACTAACTTTGGAGTTTTTAGTTCGTTTTGAACTAAATTACTTAATTTAATATTTATTGTCAATCACTGCCATGTCCAACACATCTCTCCATGACAACTCTTCTTAAGCTTGAAGCTAAAGAAAACCACAAATCAGGTTAGACTCCATGCACAAGAGTTCCTCACTAGTGATCACCAAATAGCGGTCACGTGGTTTTTAAAAAATAAAAATAAATTGGTTGTGATACGGACGCCGGTCTTATAAAAAAACAGCTCACAATATTTGATTTCTTTTTTCATAGACTGATAAAACTAATAATGCTTTACGTTCTCGCTCATTTCTGTACCTATACTGTTGATATTTTTTAAATTCTATTAATTTTAATGAAACCAACTTTTGAATTTAGCCTCCGTTCTCCAAACCAAATTTTAAAATGCTTTTCTGGCATATCTAACCCTGCCACTTATGGTTTGTTGTTATGACACGGAAATCCCGCCATTTTGCGCGTGGTAAACATTTTTAAATGTAATTAGTTGAAGGTCTCTGGAATTTGGCCGAAAAATCACCGGAAATCAGACGTCCGGTCCGGGCGCCATATTGTTGTTAGCAACCGACCACGCATCCAAGTTAGAGAGAAATACTATAAAATATATATAGCTCCATAGTCTAGTTGACCATTAGATGATTGCGAGATGGGAATCCAAGCACAAAGTCTGAGCCCAATAGCCCTAAGTGAGAAGAGCCAGATGTTAGCTACGTGACATAATAAAGGTGGGTGTCTCAAAGAAAAAAAATTACTACCTATATCTAATGAACGATGATTTTTCTTTTTCTCCTACATCTATACTAATGTCAGTAATATACACTTTTAGTGAATATTAATATAAGAGAGAGTGGGTGGGGAGGGAGGAAGGGGATAACACCAAGGTAAAACTCCATTTTAGCGTATTTTATTCTCCGCTTGTCGTTTATCTCCAGTTGAGCGTATTTTATTATAATAACCGAAACACACCAGAACACTAGGAAAACATGATTTATTTATTTGTATTTTAATGTTGTTTTTCATAAATGAATAAAATTGAATATTTAAAAAACACGACTGATTTATTTGTTTTGTATTTTTGTTTTAACAAATGAATAAAAACAACAAAGAGACTGGCTGAAATGCTTTGTTCGTTGATTACAAAAATAGAGATGCACACTTTGTAGAAATAAGTGTTCCAATTTCAACTAAACAGAATAAAAGTATTAAAAGGCATAAGAGGTCGTCCATAAATTACGTCACACTAGTAGGGGGGAGGGGGTCCGTAATTTTGTGACGGTGTGTGATGAGGGAGAGGGGGGGTTCAGATGGTGCGACGTCACACTTTTGCATTA